CACCAATGATTCCAGTAGCCCTCCAACCCCCCACCCCACCCCCCTACCCCAACCTGCCTCTGTGGCAGGGCATTCCCTTTTGCTCCCTCTTTCCTTTAGGGTGTTGTAGTTTGCAATAAAGGTATTGGGTGCCCATCATGTTCGGTCTATATTCTACTTTCAGCACGCATCTCATATCCTGAGCAAGTCTTCCAAACATCCTTTACTTGGTGTTCCCTTCTCTATCTGAGCTGCTTTTTTCCCCAGCATGTGCTGCCAGCTTCCAAGCCGAGGAGAAAATCTCCTGGTATTTATCTGAACTATTCTTGTGTTTGACTCCCATTCTGTTACTTTATATTCCCCAGATGCGTGCAGTCTTTCTATGACAGTTCCTCTCTTTCTGACTTATATTATCTCAGTAGTTTTAAGGGTAGCACTGTAGCACTGTCCTCCCGTTCTTCATTGATTTGCTTGAGCGGGCACTAGTAACGTCTCACAACAAATTGCGAGACTTGTTGTTACTGTTTTGGCATATTGAATATGTCAAGGGTAGCATGCCAGGCTTTGCCATGAGGGCGAGATACTCTCGGTAGCTTGCCCAGCCCTCCAAGAGGGGTGGAGGAACTGAACCTGGGTGGGCCGCGTGCAAGGCAAATGCCCTACCCACTGTGCTATTGCTCCAGTCCAGTTTTAAGGGTATTCATCAAAAACATAGTTACATAGGGCCAAAGACATAATACAGCAACTACAAAAGATTCTTGCATCTTTAAAGGGAGAGAGGGAAGAAAACGAGAAACACAAATACAGACAGAGACAGAGACAGAGAGGATTCTGTGCCTAATTGGTAGATATGACCCAGCTATTTCAGAGATCATTTAAATAGTGGGATCCAAATAATTTACAACCACATCATGAAACTGACCAATAGCTTTGTAATTTTAAAAACATAAATTTGACTCTTTGTACCTGAAAATCTTAAATCAATAACTAATCTTTTGATATTGTGGGGAGTTGGGGGTCCAACTGGTGGTGCTCAGGCTTACTTCTGGCACTGCGCTCAAGAACAACTCCTGGCGGGGTTCAGGGGATCAGACGTAGTGCTGGGGTTTCATGCAAGGCAAGCACCCAGCCAGCTACACTATCTCTCCAGCCCCAGACCTTTTCATTTTTTCCAGCAATTATTTTGGCACATTTTAAATGCAGTCAGAAGATAAATACTACCCAGTTTCCTTAGCTTTCATTTTTCTTGGCCTCTTTTTCAGGATGTGGATATAAAGGTCAGTTTGTGCAAAATTGAGCTGATTGGAATTGCTTAATTTTAAGAGTGTAGTGACATAGATTTCATATTTAGATCTTCTTTCTTTTTGAATAAAACATTTTCAATATTTTTTGAAGAATCAGTGAGCTGTTTTATGCTTATAAATTAAGAGAACACTGAATTTGATGACAAGTAACCCCGGATATCAGTAGCTTAATGGAGTGGAAGTTTCTTTCTCATTCACCTAACCTCAGTCACCCATGAGATCTCAGCATGATGGAGACTCCACCAAGCAACACAGAAAGGAGAGAGAACATGCAGATAAACAGGCAGACAGATGACTGCAGTCTGTGTGGTAGACACTTCTCTGGAATGTCTTGTACTTCAACAAGCTTGTTTGCTTTGCATTGTGAGAAAAATAAACAAAAACCAAATGGATAGGTAGTTTTTCTATGGCCTGTCTGGAAATGATACACAGAACTGTATTGTGTCCTTTCCATTGACCAGAACTTAGGCATATAGCCTTATAGAATTTCCAGTAAGTAGATTACTTCCAACAGGGCTGCTTTGTTCATGGAAGATAGTGCAAAGTTTTCAGATAGAGAACAGCTACCCTTCTCTGCTATGGGTGCTAAATCCAAACAAACTATATTCTTGAGAGACCTCTGACCAGATCTCTAAAAATAAATATTTTGCAGACTTTATGAAAAGTGATGAATTTCAATCAAATAAATTAAACCATCTACTAATCAAGCATTTACTATATGCTTGCTTCTTAATAAATCCTATGGGGCAGGGAGTGTTGAGTAGGTACCAGGACGAATAAAACATAGTCTAGATCTTCATGAAGTATGGCAAGGAAATAAGCTTTTGTATCTATTATATGCAATCTGTAAGATGTCACTTAAAACATAATTTTACTGTGGCGGAGCATTAGTACAGTGGATGGACACTAGTCTTGCACGTATCTGACCTGGGCTCAATTTGCGACCACATATGGTTCCCTGAGTCCCCCCAAAAGTAATCTTTAAAAGCAGAGTCAGGAGTAAACTCTGAGCAACACTGGGTCAAAACAAACAAATTTTAAAAACGAAAACACAATCTTCGAGAAATAAAACTGTTTGCAAAGAGTTTTTCCTCTATTTTCTGATTAAATATTTTTACTGTAGAAAAATTTAAGAACTACAAAAAAAGGTCTACAGAGGGGAAAAGAAATCACCTCAGTAAGCCTAATATTATCACATTGGAGTAATTACCATGAACATTTACCCTTTTGATAGCCTACATATTTCTATTTGAAAAATTACTTTATGAGAATAAGTTTTAAAGCACTCAGGAAAAAATCCTCTGTTGACCTTTCTTCATGCATTTGTAATCATGAAGAAACATGAGTGAGAATGCTAATATAAACTGTTTTCCATTGCCGATATTTGGGACACCACGTTCAGGATTTCTTACTAAAAGAGAGAAAAAGAGGAAGAATTACACCAATTTTTAAATGTCTAACAAATAAATATGGTGCTGCAAAAACAGTTACCATCATCATAAAGAAAAAGGACAAATTAATGAACCAATGAAAATAAAAATAAACTTTTAGACTCTAAGACCAAATTACTAGTTACCAGAAGGGAAACGGAAATGTGCTATAGGTAAATTGGACAGAAGGGGTCAGTTGTAGAGCAAAAGAGGGAATTAGATTTTTAATGGTGAACGTGATGTAATATATACAGCCATTGATTTATAATGATGATGACCTGGCAACAATAGTTATAAAACAAAATAAAGTATGCCTCTAAAACAAAAAAGAATAAAGTTATGTTCTTGCAAACAATAAAAATAATCACCATAAAATGCATGAAGGAATTGGGGAGATGTGGCTCATTTGTAGAGCACTTACCTTGAATTTATGAGGCTGAGATTTTAATCCCCAGAATCACTGCACACCATCAGGAGGAGCCCCAGCTCTGCTTTGGGTGCTAAATTGATCCCCAGTGGCACTCATGTGACTTCTGCAAACAAGATCATAACCCCAGATATCAAAACAACATCAGTGAAGGGAGGGGGAACCCATAAATACCTCACATTCATTCAAAACATGAACCACCAGAGAATGTTCTAGGAGCAGAGCTTAAGGGGGCTGGGGGCTTAAGAGAACCTTCTGATCCTAATAACCCTGTGGAGGCCCAGGCTGAGGACAGGGGGCTCTGTATCACTGTGCTGAAACAGACTTTGGAAGACTTGCACTCTGGAACGTTGCAGAGATGGGGATGCAACATTGGGGCAGGAGCTAGAGCGAGGGTCTGAAGTCTCTCCCCATCAAGGATGCAGAAAGAAGCTGTGTCTAGCTGCGCACAGACTCCCTGCAGGAGAGACTCTGGAACAAACGTATTTGAGTTATTTGAAATTCTACATTTTATGCTAAAGCTACCGTAAGTAGGACATCTCTTAGCTGGTTAGCCAGAACCAAGGCTTTCCAAGCTTCAGGGCAGTGTGTTCAATACACCCTCACTGGCCCTCCAGAGACATCCAAGATGCCAGTGAACAGGAATAGATGAGAATGTAGGATACAGAAGCAGAACCCTGGCAGGAGGAGACACTAAAAGGCCCGGGAAAGGGATGGAAGTCACAGATGTCTTTTTGGAAGTCTCACAAGTGGCCCAGGCCCTAGATAGGGCTGGACCGAGAACCAAGAACTTAATTTTGTTCCGCAGTCCCCTCTTTCTCCCCCTCCCTCTTACTTGAGGTCCGGTTGCAGCAAAATGGTCAAGTAACTCCCAGTTCTTCCCACTCTGGGCCACATAGACCCATTGATATTGTAAGGAAGAAATCATACCCCAAAAAGTCTGTTTTGGTCAATCACTAGGTCTCATGTGGGCACAAGTAGCATATTCTGACCACTTTAACCAGACTAGAGAATCCTAAATTAGAGAGAAAATATGGTCAGTACATGGTGTCATTTGACAAGTGAAATAAATCACCACAGTCACATTCAGTTCGTAGCTGACCACTGACGTTATAGAATTTTGCTCACTTCTCCCCTTTCCGTCCACACAGCCAAGTCAGCCTGGCTGTTTTGAAAACAGAATTCCAGAATGACCTGGAAGTTAAAACGCTTCATAAACAATTGGTAGACGTGTTTGACGGTGGTTTGAGGACAGCGCCACAGGGTAAAGTAGGCGACCACCAAGGTTGCTAAAATATTTCCTGCCCTGACCAGGGTTGCGTTTCTGGAGAATATTTAACAGGGAGGGTTTTATTGCTTCTAAAGATGTTGAAACTAAAGAACAAATATTGACCCAGAGGGCACCACAAGCCCTCCTAAAAGAGGGTAAAAGACATCCTTTATAACATGAAAAACGACTTGGCCAAATTTTTCCCTATCCTTTGCACAACTGACCCTAGCCGGCTGGAGGCGGCGGGGAGGGGGGGGGAGGACTTCCTGGCAAGGCCTGCACCCCAAGACACCTGGGAGCATCCTTGCTGCCGTCCTGGATGGACCCTTCAACCTGAGTCTCCGGGGCCGGTCTCGAGATGCTGGAACTAAAGCCGGGCGAACCCGTCAGCGCTGCAGCAAGGCGACTGCGCTCAGGCCCCCGACGCGGGAGCCCCACGGTGCCCGGGCGGCGCAGGCGGTGAGGCTGCCCCTCTCGGACCCTCCCTGCGCTGGGGGCATGAGTCAGGGCGCGTTATGCAAGTGCTGGCCGGCCCGGCGCCTCCCCCCTCGGTCTTTCACCCCGCGCGGTTACGAAAGCGAGACCCCCCCACCCCCACCGGAGCTATAAAACGACCGGGCGGCCCCCGCGGCGCGCTCCCTAGCAGGCTCCACGCGCGCCCGGCTTTGCGCGCGGCTCCGGGCGGTGAGCGCCGACGCGGGACGGGGGCGCGGGGCGGGGGAGGGGCGGGAGCTGGGGCGGAGTTGCGGGGAGCGGGGGATGCCGGGGTCTGCGGGCGCTCACCGCGCCCCTCCTGCAGGCCGGACTCCTGGGACGATGGAGTGGGTGTGGGCGCTCCTGTTGCTGGCGGCGCTGGGCAGCGGCGGAGAGGCGCGCGACTGCCGCGTGAGCAGCTTCCGAGTCAAAGAGAACTTCGACAAGGCTCGAGTAGGTGCCCCGGAGAAGGAGCGCCTGGTGGGGGGCACGGGAGAGGACGCCCCACGTTTCCCGGGGCATCCCTTTCCCCGGGGACCTTTCGCTCCAAACCCCATGCCTGCTTGTGTCTTCTTCCCTAGTTCGCCGGGACCTGGTATGCCATGGCCAAGAAGGACCCCGAGGGCCTCTTTCTGCAGGACAACATCGTCGCCGAGTTCTCCGTGGATGAGAGTGGCCAGATGAGCGCCAAGGCCAAGGGCCGAGTCCGCCTGCTGAAGTCAGTGGCCTTTGGATGGCTCAGACCTTTGCGTGCTGGGATCCCGGGATGCAGACCCTCGCCCGGGCAGGCGGGCGGGATGAGACAGACCCCCCCACCTCACTTGAGATCCCCCTGACTTTTACAGTAACTGGGACGTGTGTGCAGACATGGTGGGCACCTTCACTGACACTGAGGACCCCGCCAAGTTCAAGATGAAGTACTGGGGTGTCGCCTCCTTTCTCCAGAAAGGACGTGAGTAGACAGTTTGGGGTCCTGTCTCAGAAGTGGGGAAGCGGAGCTGGCCAAATCTGTGGATTTCTTCTTCCATGGCACCCTGGGGAGGAATGATTGGAAGTGGCAGAAAACCTGCCACGCAGCTGAAGTTAAGAGAGGTAGCACTACCATTGGGAGAGGTGGCACTTTCCAACCCCACCTCCTTCCATCCAGTTCAGTAAACCTCACCCAAGAACAAAAGGGCTAAGGGGCTTGTCAGCTGACCTCAAACCGCCATTTTCTAGCCCAGGCCCTTCAGTTTTCCAGAGTCCCAGATCATACCCCCCCACCCCCCCCACACGCACACACACACACCTGATTTTGCTCTTCCTGCATCCCTTTGCACTGAATCCCTTAGACAGGGTTGCAGCTTTCAGACCTCTGCAGAAGTTTAGGATACTCACTTGCAAAAATAAAAGAAGCCTCATGCAAAGGGTTGGCTCAGTCCCAGGTATCCTCAGTGCCTGTGCTGAGATTCCCACCCAGGCAGGTGCTCAAATGGCCGTGAAATCTTTTCTTTCACCCCAACAAGGGAATGCAGACTGGGAAGGCGGTGGGCACAGGGCAGGGTTTGAAAATCCTAAAAATTGGCCTGCTTATGAGAACACAATATCCACATGCTCTTTCTACCCATGTCTTCCATTCCCCCTATATTTCAAAAGCTGGAATCTATTTGGTAGCTCGAGAAGAAGGCAGACCAGAGATCATGGACTCTTGGAGCTTTCTCCCCTACAGGGAGATTCAATAAGGCAAATAAACTGAGACTACCAAGAAGGCAGAGCTTTGCAACAAGATTGGGGGAGTCATAGTCGGAAGCCAAAGGCTTCAATCTCCCAGACTAGGATTAGTGACTCTGAGCAGCAGGGATTTCTAATACAGGCCAACTTTTGCAAAACATTATTTGAACTCCTTTGTGAGATAGATTCACGTAAGGGGCTGTCAGGGAACTCTTCTAGCTTAGTGATCAAGCACAGATAGATCCTTTAATTGCTCTAATGCTGTGTGTTAGGTGAAATTGCCTTTTTTATCCAGCTGATTTTCCAGTGTTGATTTACATGGTACAGGTGGGATTGCTGTCCTCCAGGACGAAAACAAAAATAGCATTCATTTCTAAAAATAATAAAAATGGTTTCAAATAATGCAGAAGTTTCCTAAAATGATTAATTTAATGTAAAATAGATACTTTATGAATGATGGATGACAAAAAAATAATCAATGCCAGGAGGCACAAGATGGTGAAGTTTTAGTAATCTAAGAACATTGTGTGGCATATTTTACACTCTTTTTTGCTGGAACTACAATTTGTGTTAAATCATATTCAAGTGTGGTGTACACCAGCATCAATGTGTTAAAGGACCAGGATTTTCTTGGTTATGAATTTGGGAGGAAGCAGTGAAGGAGGCATTTGATTCTTTCCTCCTCCTCCTCCTCCTCCTCCTCCTCCTCCTCCTCCTCCTCCTCCTCCTCCACCTCCTTCTCCTTCTCCCCCTCCTCCTCCTCCTCCTCCTCCTCCTCCTCCTCCTCCTCCTCCTCCTCCACCTCCTTCTCCTTCTCCCCCTCCTCCTCCTCCTCCTCCTCCTCCTCCTCCTCCTCCTCCTCCTCCTCCTCCTCCCAATCAAACCCAATTGATTCTGATTTGGGACAGACTAAAATTCTATTTGGGATTTGATTTGATGGGGAAGGGGGATGTGGAAAACTTTAGCGTGATTGTTATGGATAGGAGGTGAGATGACTATGATAGAAAAGACTTTTTTTTTTTGAGATTCTTTCCAAGGCTACCTCTCAGGAATGGAGCCAGGCACTGTGCAAACTAAGTCTACCAGACTGACTGAGAGTACATATCCTCACACAACCTGAGGACCTTGGTGAGGTTCCTTAGCATCACTGTGCCTCATTTTCCACATTTGCAAAAGGGAGTGATTATGGCAACAATCTCCTGGAGTCTCATTGTGAGGGCACAGTGAGTAAACAAGCAGAAGGCACTTGGAGCAGTGGGGAAGACATGCGTTCTCTGTAAGGGTGTGCTATTACCCCTACTTCAGCCATGAAATAACGGCTTTATATTCCAGGTCAGGCTCAAGCCTTTGTTTGTAAAATGAAAACACTGAGGCTCACATTAGAGAAGTGACTCATCTAAATACATTACTAACTAGAAGCTCTTAGTGACACCCCTGACCAAGAAGTGTAGAAGGAATGAACTGTCCCCTGGTAATGATTAGTCCCTGCTTGTGTGCTCACCTACTTATATATTATATGCTTATATGGGACTTAATTTTTTTATTTAATTTTATTTTATTTTTCCAAATTCTGCTTTCATTTCTCATGCTGTTTGTGTTTTGTTTATTACTTTCTATGTTGGCTCCAGTTTAGCATTAAACACTGCTTAGTCGGGAGGAGTTGAAGGCTGCAGAGTAGCTTGCCTTCTAGGTCTTTGCCCTTCTCCACAATCTGCGTATCTGCGTGTGAAAACAGCTGTGTTTTAAATGAAAGACTCTTGCACAGAGAAAATAATGCAGTCGAAATGCTCATCTGCTGTCAGTTTATTTTAAAATGAGATGTAATAGACGGCTACATGTGAGCATGTCAGGATTCTCAGGCTGCTGTGACCTGCTGCCCAAGCCTTGGCATGGGGCCTCAGCATTGGCATTATGAGTATGCTTTTTGAATAGTTCTTCTCATGAAGAAGGCGGAGGACCAGGGGGTGTGGATGATTCTGTCAAAATTGTCTTGGCTCACTTGAGCTTCAAGGCACGTCACTGTACTCAATGACGTGTTGGGCCAGTGGGGGTATTGTATGTTGTTATTATTTTGGCAATTAGTCAGAAAAAGCTTCATCGCCACCAACTGCTGGCACAGCTGGAAAGTTAGAGCTGAGGGCTTCAGGGAGGGAGCCCTGGTTGGAGGTCTGGTTGCAGGACTCAGGTCTAGGAAACTGCAGGGACATATTCTAGGGCCATTGTAGTAAGTTACAGATCTTCAGGGTAACTGGATCACCTGAAAAAGCTCTTTCTGCTGAGTTTGCTTTAGCTTTGGGAGGACAAGCAACATGTCCAACCTGCTCTCTGTGGATCTACACCCAACTGCAGCGTAACCCCACCTGGAGTCCCATCTATACAACCTTGGTTCTTGCTCTCCCAAATTGTGTGTGTAGTTACTGACGGGAATATTTGGGGGCGACTGTTTCTCCAGATGGCTCGACTTCAGCTGCCGGGAGAGCTGATGTTGGAGGACTTGGCTCCTTATTTTCAGCTGGGTTCAGGCAGTTCACCTTTTGGCTTAGGAAGCAAGAGTCGGATAAAGATTATGAAATCTTTTAATTGAAATTTATAATTGAACGTCTTCCTCTCTGCACTATTTAGCCAAAAAAGATAAATCAGACCTACTAAGACCTTTTAAAGTCAATAACTGGAAGTGAAAAATAATTGAGAAGGAGATGGAATTGTGAAATAACTGGCACAAAACGAAGACTCAGAGAGCCCTAGTCATGGTTGTGTAGGTCAGTTAGCCTTTAGTAAAGGCAGCATTTCCTTCCTAACAGGAGGTGTTCATATAAACTGAAGCATTGTTCTTCTACTCATTCTTCTCACTTCTCATTGTTGATATTTTATATTACTTCAAGGTTTACACACCAAGCTTAGGAATAAATGTAATCCAATTTCCTCAAGAGTGCAGCTCTGCCCCTCTCAGAGGAGATCAGAAAAGTCCAAGCTCTAACAATTTTCTGATATCTGACAGTAGGTGTTTAGGCAAAAACTTCTCCCCTCTGCAGCAGAGAGATGAGTGGATTCCTAAAAGTCAGAGCCTGATAACCAGAGAGACGCCCTCCAGTGACCGGCAAGGCAGGAGGACATGTGGTTACAAGAGATGGCAGAACTAGCTGATAAGAGATAATCACCCTAATACAGGGGATAGGGTCAGTGGATGGCCTTCAGACATTAGCCCCAAAGGCACAAATATCACTGGAGATAGAAGGTAAGACAGACAAAGGAAGGTCGAATCCTGTGTTTTTTCCTTCTTCCCTTTGTGGTTGCAATGAGACAGGGTCACACATCTGGCTATATTGTTCACACACACCTGGCTGTATGCCAGAGACATCACATGCTCCGAGAGCATCAGGATCCCAGACAGCAGACCTACGGCGACTGAGCTCAGTGCATGTGGGGATACCCGGGATTAAACTCATGATTTCAAGATTGCAAGACTGGCATTTTACTTGCTAAGTCAGGGCCCACATTATCCAATTATTATTTGGAGAGACACTGTCACATTTATCTTTAGAGTGCCAGATGATTGTGGAAGTAAATGAGGTTCCCTTGAACCCCCCGCACCACACACACACACACACACACACACACCAGGACATGTTTCTGTAAAGAACAAGTTCATTTCTCATTGTCCCAGTTGTATAAGAAGCGTTAGCATTCTCTGTGGTCTGCAGCTTCCTGACAAAACAAAACAAGCTTCAGGAAGTAACTGTGGGGATGGAGAGAGCACAGTGTGTAGGACTCTTGCCCTGCATGTGAACGACTAGGTTCAATCCCTGGCCCCCCATATGGTCCCCTGAGCAATGAGACCTGGCAGTGCATTCCCCTATTGTCCCGGGACTCTGAGCATCCTTATCAGGGAGCTGAAGTGGGAGTAGACAGAGGCTCTGGACTCTGGCTCTCTGACCTGCAGATGATGATCACTGGATCGTGGACACGGACTATGACACCTACGCTGTGCAGTACTCCTGCCGCCTCCTCAACCTGGATGGAACCTGCGCTGACAGCTACTCCTTCGTCTTTGCCCGGAACCCCAACGGCCTGCCTCCGGAAGTGCAGCGAATCGTGAGGCGGAGGCAGGAGGAGCTGTGCCTGGCGCGGCAGTACCGGCTGATTGTTCACAACGGTGAGTGGTGGGTGGCGTCTCCAGCTCCCACAGCGCTGGCAGAATTTGGATCCAGAGGCCAGAGGAAATAGGGAGCCCCTAGGAGCCCAAGCCTAGGCCTTCCCCGTGTGTCTTATTGACCTTTTCAGGGAGCTGAAGCAGGAGTAGACAGAGGCTCCTTTTTCAGTTCCTGATACTCTTCATTTTTGGTGGGGACAGGGAGGAATGCACGCCTACTGGTGCCCTGGGACTACTCCCAGCAGTGCTTGGGAAACCGTGTGGTGCTGGGGATTGAACCTGGGGCCTCTCCATTCAAAAATGTGCTCCAGCACTTTGAGCTGACTCCCTGGCCCCTAAATCCAGGCCTGCCCCCAACCCCGCCCTAAGTTTGGGGGCCACACTTAGGATGTTGCTGGGAGTTACTCCGGCACGTCAGGAGGGACCATTCTCAATGGGAATCACACTCAGGCCTTTACATGCATAAAGGCCAACACCTTGAAATATCTGCCCCCTCCAACCTTGACATTTTAATTCAAACTTCAAGGGACACCCTCTTTCCTTTTTCCTGCTGCCTTAGCCTAGCCTATGGTCACATGATACACCCCGCCCCCACCCCAAGGTGACACTGACCCAAAATATATATTTTTTTCTTTTTGGGTCACACCCTGCAATGCTCGGGGGTTACTCCTGGCTCTGCACTCAGGAATTACTCCTGGCGGTGCTCAGGGGACCATATGGGATGCTGGGGATTGAACCCAGGTCGGCCACGTGCAAACAAACACCCTACCCGCTGTACTATCGTTCCAGTCCCCCAAAATACATTTTGACTAAATTTATATTGTTTGGGATTGAGCAGCTCCATGTAGCAGGGGATAGAAGATGTGGCCATTGAAACTTAAAAAAAGAAAAGAATTTCAACAAATGCTTACTTTTTCTACTTTTTATACCTATCAAATTGTCTAACTGGTTTCCCCTCACAGCAGATTCTGTTCTCTCAGCACCCTTTACCCCCGAGAAATTAGGTGGTTCAGAAACAGCTTTGGAGGGATGGTTTTGAATGACAGTCACCTCCAGCTGTAATCTTTACTATTTTTCTTATTTTTTAAATAATCTTTCAAAGATGCAAAGAACCCACGGCTTTCCTGGTATTGGGGACTGGTGAGAGACGGGGTTGTTTTCTCCGCTCATAACAGTTGTCCTCTGTTTCAGGATACTGCATGGGCACGTCAAAGAACAACCTTTTGTAGCACCATGGAGGGTGCCACGTCTCCAGGGAAAACGGCCTCTTCCTTGTCCAGCCTTCAGCTCTATTTATCTTCATTTATTTGCTCTCTCTCTCGCAAATATGAAAGCTGCCCTGCACATAAAAATGTATATGGCACTAAGTGGGTCTATCTGCCCTCTGATGTCTGCCATTACCTGGAGTTTTCCAGAGAACCACGAGAGGCTTCAGAATCCAGACTTGGATTGATTAAAATACAGTCTCCCATTTTCTATGATTCAGGTTTTGTCTGTGTCCATGCCTGTGCCTGAGTGAAAACCCCGTGGATTTCTCCCCAGCAGGCTCTCTTCCCAGAGGTTTCTTTATGACCTTTGGCCACTTCTAGGCTTCTAATCCCCATAATTAGTGGCTTCTCTCAACTTCCTGAAAAAGGAGTTTCCCTTTAACAGGGAAGGCCTCAATTGCTGGCTGGTGAGTGAAGGTTCAGCCGGGCCTCAATCAGCCCGGGGCACCTAGGGAGGCCAGAGGGCTCACCCACTGTGGGTTTGAAAGACTAAGGGGTTGGGGCTGGAGCATAGCACAGCAGGTAGGGTGTTTGCCTTGCACGGGACCGACCTGGGTTCAATTCCCAGCATTCCATATAATCCCCCTAGCACTACCAGGAGTAATTCCTGAGGGCAGAGCCAGGAGTAACCCCTGATCATCACCGGGTATGACCCAAAAAGCAAAAAAAAAAAAAAAAAAAAAGACTAAGAGAGAGGCTGGGGTCTCTGAGTTTTTTGAAACACCACCAGTCCGTCGGCATGCCTAGCACTTTATTCACTCAGTTCAGATGTAGACAAAATGTTGAGAGGGAGCTGGCCTCAAGCTTTCCTGGAGGAACTGAGACATTGGGACCTGGAAGCCAGGACTTGGCGAAGGTACTCCGCCCCCACACTTGGAGCATTTAGGACACAGGATAGAGTGGGGGTGGGGAATTGTAGCAGAATGCCAGCACCCCACACTGTTAGTAGCACTTGGGAATACTAGTGTGTACCCACATGCAAAGCCATTGCCTCCTTTCCAACAAGTTCCCAGGAGTTTTCTGTAAAGGAAGTTCAAAAAGGGAGACTAGAAATTCTTGGTTTTGCCTCAAAATCCAGCTTAGAGCTAGAGTTTGCACATGAGTGAGGGCCTTTGCCTTGCATGCTGTCAACATCGGATCAATCTCTGACACTGCGTGTGGTCCCCAGGCACTACCAGAGGTGCTCTCAGAGTACAGAGACAGGAGTAGCCCCTGAACACCACTGGGTATGACCCTAATATTCCCCCGGCCCACTGCCCAGTGATTGGGGTCTGGTTCCATGGCTTCTCTGGCCTCCAACTCTTTAAAATGGGAAAACAGTGGGCTGCTCTGAAGATTCAGTCAGAGCACTTAGAAATTCTGCCAAAGGGCCATGGTGGGCTGAGATCTATTAATTATGTCAGGGGTAGAGGAGGTACCCATTCCCCATGAATGCTGAACCCTCTCCCTGGCTACCAGTACTGGGAGGGCCCCTGTGCCTGCACCTACTATGCTTTGTTCTCCCACCAGTGAAGGAGGAGACCGATGAGCAGATACAGGAAACATAGCGAGTCATCACAGAACGGTCAAAATCAGGTTCTTTAGCTTCACTTCCACAACCCCAGAGACCTGGAATAGAGCCACACATCACTTCATTTACCACCTTCATTAACTAAAGGTGAACGAAAAATACCCGTCTTCTTACTCTTGATCTGTGACTACCATAAATCAGAAAAAGCCATTCAAGATGCAGTGGCAACCACTGGCCCTGATTAACATGGCTGTGAACATATGTTGAACATCGACAATGTGACAAGCTCGGAGTTACTGCATGCTTTAATCATTGGCTCCACTTTCAATTAACAGCCTGTCTGGCTTTTCTTTGATTCTGATTTCTTCTTTCACTTCACTCCAGGGGATATTTAATGAAATCATCTGCCAGAAACACTCCTCAGTAACCCCAAACTTGTATCCACAGGTCGAGTTCCATCTCCCTGCAATAACCTGCCCACTGTCCAGGGAGATCTCATTGGGATTTTCAACTTACAGTCTCCAAATGAATCTCTTAGCTTTCCTATCCCCACTCTTCTCCCTGTCTCACTTATTTTTGTTGCCTGATTCAATGTTGGACTAAAAATATAGGAGTCACCCCTGATCCCTCCTTCTTTCCCTCACTGTTTTCATCCTGCCTGTCTACCTTCAAACTCATTTAGACTTACTCCACCTTCACGAGATTATTTCTCACATCGATGCCACCCACATCCTCCATGTTTCCCATCTTATTTTTTTCTATTTAAGAAGTCAACTAGCAGGTTTCTGTTTTTACTATAGCTCACCAATGTTCATTCTCTGCACAGTAATATTTAAAGCATGCATCAGATCTTGTATCAGTCTCCAACTGCAAATTCCCTATGGTTATCGTATTTGGGTACGTAATGGTCTCCACCTTCACTGTACCCTGTTGTTTTTGCAGTAAAACGATCACATTGTTTTTGTTTCACATAATGGTCACACTCCACTTTTTGGCAAAAATATGGCATGAAATCAACAGTTATGTAGTGAGATGCAGTACCCACTCAACACAGGGTAAATTCCTTGTAGTGATCTTTCAAGTCCTTCATAATTCAACCCTTGTAACTCCTCTGGAATCAGCTGGCAGGCTCTGGTAGAAACACCTTGGTTCCAGGACCAAGCACAGAGCCCAGTGCAGAGGCAACTTAGTTTAGATTTGCTTTGCATCCACCATTTTCTTTCTTCTCCATAAGCATTCTGGTCCCATCTACAAGCATTTCTTCTGCCTTGAGTCCATTCATTCCCTGAGGCTCATATGACTGAATCTTTCTTGTGACTGATCTTTTGACCCAGATCCCACCTTTTAGACCTTTCTAGGTCTCTGTCATCTCCCATCAAGATTGCCATCAGTTTCCTCCCTTTTTCATGATGGCATAAGACGTACAGACTTCTCTGTAGTGGTCCTGCCCTTCATTAGTAGAGAAGCAAGTTCTCTGCAGACAGGGGTTCTGGCTGCCTGGCTGACCTGCCTGTTTGTATTCTCAGCACCCCAAAACACTATTGGGCCAGAGCTTGTTCTTAGGAGGCACATGGTGTGTAGGTGGGAATGTAAGGAATTAGTATGTTCTCATCCTCAGTTACCTTTTCTTTCTGATTTCACTACACTACTTTTTCCTAAGGGGAGTCAAGGCATTTAATACAAATGAAAATTAACTTACCTTTGATTATTCCTTGTGATTCTTCAAATGGTCTTGACACTAATGAATGATTACAAGGCCTTTATAAGTCCAAGACAGCAACCTGGTGTGGCCCTGATTCTTCAGAGGATAAACCTAGTCCCTGAATCAGGTGCAAGACTCACTTCAGAAACCAGGAAAGTGTGGCTCGGTCAGTAGGAGATATGATTGCTGAGCAGTTATAAATAAAAATTTATTAAATGCCATCATGTTATAAACACACTGCAAAAGTTCATATTTAAGGGAACTCATTAAAAGTCCTCTTATGAAGGATAAAATTGTTACACTGATCACCCCTTAATTTACAGGCACTGTAAATGAATTTTTGCGTAGGTTACATTTTCATAAAGTAGGGTGTTAGAAACAAAGGTCCTTTAATAAAAAAAAATTCCAGGGCTTGCCAAAGAGTGACAGGTTCTGTGTAAAGAGAAACATGAACTAGTTGGAAATAATAGATAAATCATTTCTCCGGACAGACGTGTCTGTAAACATGGCTCCCTTTTCTGAGGAGAAGAAGCAGTGAAAAATTTTCCTCCATTCATTCCTGAACAGTGACATGTTATAAAGAATGGGATTTAGGGCAGAGTTGGAGAAGGTGAAGGCCACCACCCAGAAGAAAAGGGATGGCCAGATGACTAGGTCTTGCTTGAAATTCTGGATCAAGATGAGGAGGATGGTGATGATGATGGGACTCCACATGATGAAGAAGGAGATCATGAGCAGGAAGAGGGTGCGAAAGAGCCTGAAGTCTTGTTGGGACACTCGGATCTGGTGACTTTCCGAATATGCCATGTTCACAGTCAGCCTTCTCCTTGATGCCTTGGTGATCTGTAGGAATATGAAGAAGAGCTGGAGTCACAATTCACTATACAAAGTCAGGACATGGTCAAGGAGGGGTGGGAGGGGTTGTTTTAGGGAGAGCAGAGAATCCAGGAGTTGGAATCTACTTTCCCCATTGCACGGGGTCTATGTCCCACACTCAATGTGGTGCAGGACTGGAGAATGCCCTTCTCAGAGACCTGGCACTTTCCTTGTGCGTGTGAGATGTGCTGGAACGAAATGGCCCCTGAGTGGCCTCCTGAGAAATAAGACAGAAAAGTACCCACGTTGTTAAGGAGTTGATGAAACCAAGTGAAAGCTTGGCCTGGATAGTCTGGTGATGGGTATATGTCAACAGGAAAAATGTACAGCCTTGGTGTAAATGATCCAAATGTAAATGATCCAAAATTCAATTGTAAAAACTAATTTCCAAATTGATAATATTGTGTTGGGGGCTTGGGGGCTGTTGGGAGGCAGGGAAGGGCACAGGCATCACAGAGACCTGTGATACATACAGAGACAATCTCTCAGCTTCTTGATAAAAAATGATAATGGTCCCTGATATCTGGGGGCACTTACCTGGGTCCAGGCAAGCTTTCCTTAGATTCTCTCCTGCCTTTTAAAGCCATTTCTACAATTGAGTTGGATCTTTCAGTTTTTATAATGACTGTAAGATACCTTTCAGCAATAACCATCAGGAAACTTTAAAAATAGAAGCTGATTACACACAAGCCTTAGAAATTACACAGCAGGCCGGGGCCATGGAGAGATCAGAGAAAGACTGACAGAGGGTCTGGGGCCTATTTCCTGGGGTTGAATGGTGGAAAGTCTGAGACTTCTCAGGTTTTATTGCACTTTAATGCACTCTTTATTGGTGCATTCAAACGATGAGTGGGAATTCAAAGTGGAAAGAAAGGCAAAAAGAAAAAGACAAAGTAAATCCCAACTGACTGGTTACCTGAATCAACCCAGATCTAGAAAACAAAAAGAGCCTGGGGTGAGGGGGGACCATGTTTGCTTAAGTTACCCGCTCTGAAGTGGGTGCCCCTTCGACCAGGATGTCTGGACACCACAGGCTTAGAGAACTGGGCAGAGTCCTCATGACTGGTATGAATGCCCTTATGAAAGAGCCCTGAAGTCCCCACGCCCTGTGACCACACAGTGAGGGGGTTGGCAGTCTGTGCCCTGCCTCAGCCCTCAACGCCTCCACAACTGGGAAGAATAAATTGCTAGAGTCTGTGAGCCACTTGGCCTGAGGTGTTTTGTTAGTGCACTTCTGAAGGACTAAGAGGCACTTTTCAACTGTTGTTACCTTTTGGAAAGAGCTAAATAAATAATCCCACAAAAGCAATGTGCACTCAGGGTACAAACTCAACAATATGACACTGAAGGGGATAGAATAAAAGTGTAAGGCCTCAGGGTCAGAAGAGACAGCAGAAGGGTTAAGGCAGTTCCCTTGCATGCAGTCAGTTGGGGTTTGATCCTTAGCACCATTAATGGCCTCCTGAGCCCTACTAGGAGTGATCTCTAAACACAGAGACAGGAGTAAGCCCTGAGCAATGCCAGGTGTGACTTAACCATTCCTTTGCTTCCACCTTCTGCAAAGTAAGGTCTCTGGACCTTCTGGTCTTTTATACTGTCCATTTATACTCCTTCCAAGTACCTAAAGTTAAGAGTTTGGGGCAGTTCTTATAGAAATATTTTCCTCCCCCAAATCATAGGCATTTGCACATTTGCTTTGTCCACCAAGGAGTCATAGCATGGTCATACTTGGAACCATGTTTTCCTTCCATAGCAGCAGTCTTCATGCCTGTTCCTTAGCAGTCTGGAGAGAAGTCTGCTCGTTGCTGTTGCATTTTAGTAGTGGTTGAGAGATTCTGCTGGGTGCTCTTTAGCACAATTTATCCAGCTTCCTCTTGACGAGTCGTTTATTTAGTCATGTGTGTGGAGAGAGGGGGCAGGGATAGGTATCTGTTGATTTGATATTGTTCATACTTGTCCCTTTCAGGCTGGGGGTAATTGGGAGATGCAAAAGGGTGTGGCAGATGGGGACACTCTTCTCTTTCTTGGGCTCCCTTCCTTTCTCTGGGGCAACTGAAAATGTATCATTGTCTGATGTCAGGCTGCTGAGTTGGGGCTACCGAAGGCAGTCAGGCAGTGCTCATTTGTTATGGCAGGTGCTGCCAGGAGACCTCTGAAAATGAAGATGTGACTGGGTGGTGTCCCCACCAATGCCTGGGGTAGGATACTGCAAGGGGAATGACATCTTCATCGACAGAATCTGTGGCACCACTACCCAGCTACACTGTGGCCTCTGAGTAGAACCCACTAGACGGTCTGGGGACAGTCACCTCACATGGGGAGCATGCAGTCCCTTATCCAAGAGAGGGCCACTGACAGAATAGCCCGTCCTTGTTCTGCATTCCGCTGGCGAAAGGCTAGCTTTGACTTGCCCGTGAGAACGATGGTCTAAAATAAACAGACATAGCCGAAAAGTAACGTTGCTGATAAGCCAGAGATGCTGAGCAGAGCCCTGCAGTAACGCTTGCTGAAAACTCCAAACTGTTCAGTGCTCCCTATTGCCATGCACATCCCTTGATGGGGTAACTGCTCTTCGTGTACTGGCAAGTGCTGTCAAAGGACCCCGCTCCTAATGCTTATAACAGCCTCTGGTACATGGTAGCAGTGAGCAGAGCCTGCATTCCAACAGAAGGATGCCCAGCTATACACGTTCGGAAGGGTAATCTGGACTCTGTCTGGGGGAGACCCTGAAGGGCCCCCCTCTCTGTCAGTTAGAGGTCTGGCTTCAGCCTCAGTCAGAGAAATGGGTTTTAATTGGCAATGGGAATTCTTGCCCATAAAGGCCCATCTACTGGAACAGGTTAGACAGAAATACACAAGAAGGGTACTCTTGTCCCTGTCCCAGCTGAAAACAGGCCTTCTGAAACAAGTCTACACTGTGCAACCTTTCTGCTGGAGGTGCTATATGGTGTCCAGCATCTCAGGAGCACCTCCTAGCTCCCTGGGAGTTGTACAGCATGACCTGATTTAAATGCAGATCCAGAGGCATTAGCTCCTCAGGGGAGGGGCTGAGGACGAGCCTTTCCAACAAGCTCCCCTGCCTGCATTAACTATCCAGACCTGCTGCACCCCTTTATTCTATAGGACAGGAAACCGGTGCCCCTAGAGAGGTTTTAGCCGTGCTGCTTTGAAAATAGGAGCCTCATAGGCACAGAAGCGGGACCTGTGACAGGAAAGGATGGTTCTGCCGTTTCAGGGTGCAGGGTGGTGAGTGTGAGGTGAGTCTGAGCACCCTGGCAGCTGCCCTGGAAATAGATTCAGTGCCTGCCCTGCAGTCCCCCATCACTCCCTCAGTTTCCACAGAGCCAAGAGATTGGGATGGGTGGGGAGACAAAGGTAGTTGACCCACTGTGTGCTGGAGCCCATGTCTCTTGGCCTGTTTGTTTCCAGCCTGAGACCTTCCAGGGCAGAAACCCGATTGTCACCACCACCTCCCAGGTCCCTGTGAGCAGCCTCATTGATTGAGTCTGCCCACATGGGACCACATAACGGGTGTCTGGAGACTTGGGAGGCCACACTTCCCAGTCCTCAGGAGCTCCTTCTTCTAAGATTTCTTGAATTCCCCAGGAGGGAAGTCATTAGACACAATGAGCATCTTTGGGAAAAATTAACTCCAAGACCGGAATGACTGCAATTATTCTCCACAGAATTCCTTGTACTAGCTCATTAAAGGGGAACTGGATTTGGTGATGAAATGAGAGTTCTTGCTCACCACAGTGTGGTCATTTCAGGCCACTGCTTGGGTGAAGAACAGAGCAAAAGATGCTGCATGAACAGACCCCGCCTCAACAGTGAGTATAACAGGAGCACGGCTGAGCGTGATGTGGAGCTCTCTGTGGGCCAGGCCTGGCTCTATCCATTTGTCACAGAAATTATCAAAACAACCTTCACAGCTGGGCTTGTGGTTTATACAATTATGATTTCCACCTCAGAGATGAGGGAATGAAATGCAAGTAATGTGCCGGAGGTCACTGCACTGTGGGTGGGGCGTCAGAGTTCCCAGCTGAGGAGAGCCAGCTCAGTGGAGCTGAGGAGCAGCTGGATCGTACAAGGTCTGACAGAGCTCCATTCCTGCCCACCCTCCCTTCCACCACCTGCGCTGCAGGGTGGGATCCAGACATGACTCCCCTTACATCTCAGACACATGCACAATTCACATGGGCACAGCCGAGTGTGGAAATGGCATGTAGAATCACAGTAAGAATGTGTCATTCAGTCAGATGAAGAGGGATAGACATAGAAAGATTGCATTCGTCGGGGGAACATAAAGTAACAAAATAGGAGATGAACACCCAAAAGTGGCTGAGATTAGTACCAGGAATTTTGCTCCATGGCTTGGAGGCCAGCCACACATGCTAGGGGAAAAGGGAGCCCAGATAGAGAAGGAAGCACCAAATAAAGGGTGTTGGGAAAATCCTCCCAGGATGGGAGAAGCATGCTGAAAGTAGACTAGAGACCAAACATGATTGCCACTCAATGCCTCTTTTGCAAACCACGACACCCAAAAGGAGAGAGAGAACAAATGGGAATGCCCTGCCACAAAGGCAGGGTGGGATGGGGGGCTCTGGGGGGATGGGAGGGATACTGGGACCTGTGGTGGTGGAAAATGGGCACTGGTGGAGTGATGGGTACTTGGTCATTGTATAATTGAAACCCAAGCACAAAAATTTGTAAGTCTACAACTGTACCTCATGGTGTCTCACTAATAAAAATTTAAAAAAAGAGAATGTGTCATTCAAATGACAGTTGGTTGTTCTGAAATCTCCGTGACCAAGAGACCTGAAGAGTAAGGGCACGTGTATGTGTGTGTGTGTGTGTGTGTGTGTGTGTGTGTGTGTGTTTGTGGAAGGTGGTGGGGGGGTTATGACAATCACTCTAATACTGACAGGGTGGATGTGGAGGTCTTCTCCTTGACTGTCCCTTCCCAG